CCTAACCCCCCTTCATCTTTGGGGAGGCAAACTTGCTCCCAACTCACCAAATGCACTTTTTTCTCCTCCTCCCAACCTCTCCAAAGAAAGCTCCTTTGAAGCTTTTCAAGCTGATTTGCAACATTGTTTGGAATAGAGAAAAGAGATAGGAAATAGGTGGGTAAATTGGATAGAGTACTCTTTATCAAAGTCACCCTACGCCCAAAAGAAAGGTATTTTGCCTTCCAAGAAACCAACTTTCTTTCCATTCTCTCAATTACTGGGTCCCAAATTGCAGAAGAACCACCACTCACTCCCAGAGGGAGCCCCAAATATTTGACTGGAAGAGACTCAATCTAACAAGCCAAGATACCAGTACAATCTGCTAAGTTGGGAACCTAGCCCACTGTGATAATTTGGCTCTTGTTCCAATTGACTTTTAGACCAATAATCACTTCAAACCACGAAAAGATACCAAGGATTAACTCCACCTGTGAGGGGGAGGCATCCACAAAACATAACGAATCATCTGCAAAATGGAGAATATTCACCTTCTCTCCCCCCGGAGCAATTGCAAAACCTTCCCACTCACCGAAAACTGCAGCCTTCTCACAGAATAAAGTGAGGATCTCCATTACACATATAAAGAGTAGAGGAGACAGGGGATCTCCCTATCTAAGACCCCTGGAACTATCAAAGAAGCCAGCAGACTGTCCATTAACCAAAACTGAGAACTTTGGAGAGGTGATACAAACTTTAACCCAGTTCCTCCATTTCTGCCCAAAATTCATCTGCTGTAACACAAGATCAACACATCTCCAATTGACATGACCATAGGCCTTTTCAATATCAAGTTTGCAAATCAGTCCTGGGGATCCTTCTTTTTTCCTGGAATGAATGAGCTCATTGGCAATGAGTACAAAGTCCAGCATCTGCCTACCCGAAACAAATGCACTTTGGTTATTTGAAATGACACTTCCAAGAACCCCTTTCACTCTCTCAGCGAGAACTTTAGCTAAGATTTTGTAGAAGCTATGCGTAAGACTAATCGGCCTGAAATCCTTAATATTCACAGCACCTTCAATCTTTGGAATGAGGGTTATAAAGGTGGTATTCAGACTCCTCTGCAAGGAACCCCTCTCTTAGAAGTCCTGGAAAACATTCAGAATATCATGTCTCACCACATCACAACATTTAATATAGAAAAGGTTTGTAAGACCATCAGGCCTTGGAGACTTCTCATCAGCCAACAACTTGATTGCTGCTTTTATTTCCTCCTCCGTGAAGGGTCTTTCAATAAGAGATGACTGCACATCACTCAACTGATTGAAAGGAAGGGACCTAGGAAAAGGCCTGAAGGACCAAGACTCCTTGTACAACTTTTTATAAAAACTAGTAGCCACTAACTTCATATCTGCCTCAGAGACACCCACCCTGCCTTCTCCCTCCAACCTGGTTATTACAGAGGCTCTAGCTCTTGCATTTGCCATTTTGTGAAAAAAGTGTGTATTCATGTTCCCCTCTTTCAGCCAAGCCACTTTTGCTCTTTGCCTCCATTTGATTTCTTCCAACACTGCCAATTTATCAAACTTCATCTTTGCCTAAGCTCTTTTTAGTCTATGCTCCTCAGAAATAGGACCCAACTCTTCTACTGAATCAATTTCCTTTATGGTACATAGAAAGGCTTTCTTTTCAATATCTAAACTCATATTTTTCTCCAATTTCCAAATCTTTAATATTGCTTTGGTGGCCCCCAATTTTTTTTGCCAGAATGAAAGAACTGGTACCCAATACCTGCTGATCATCCCAAACAGACTTCAACAAAGGAACAAGAGTTGCATCCTCAAACCAAGCATTCTCCAATTTGAAAGGGACTTTTGCTCTATCTCTGACACTACAAACCAGCTGAATAGGAATGTGGTCTGAAACCGGCCTAGGAAGGGCAATCTGCTTGAATCTGGAAAGAGATCTCCCCAATTAGAAGTAACCAGAAATTTGTCCAGCCTCACAAGAGTGGGGGTGTCTTGGTTGTTGGTCCAAGTAAACCGGCTACCGTGAAGGGGGTAAGTCTTGAAGTTCAAATCTGTAAATGAAATTGGCAAACCGAGCCATATCCCTAGATCTTCTCCCTCTAGAGCTTCTCTCATCCGCAGACAAGGTGACATTAAAATCACCACCAATAACCCAAGGGTAAGATAAACTTCCCCTCACCACGGCCAACTCCTCCTGCATACTTCGATCATTAGGACCATACACATTAGTAATTTGACAAACATTGCCATCCACAAACTTCAAGACTAGGGAAATTGAAAAATTTTCAATATGATAGGAAACCAAACTGCAAACCATTGGATCCCACATGCTCAGCAACCCCCCTGCACTCCCGGCTGCTAACTTTGATCTCCACCTAACATCTCCCTCCCCCCAGATGCTTCTAACCACTGCAGCCTCAACACTGTCCAACTTAGTTTCTTGGAGCAACACAATTTTTGACCCTGACTTCTTCAGAGACTCACACACTACAAGCCTCCTTCTACGCGACCCCAAACCCCTCACATTCCAAGATAACAACTTTAACTCCATTATAGACCACTAAAGCAAAAGAGAGCTTGGCACTCAAGCCTTTCTCCCCCCCCCCCCTCACACTCCCCTCACTACTACCTGCTCTATCATTTAAGCCCCAAATCAGTCGCATCATTCTCTGCTTTTCTTATATTTGTTACCCCCTTCTTTGCTGCAAATTTCTCCCTTGCCACAAGCACTCTTTGCTCAACTCCCTCCAAATATTTGATTGTCTCCTCTTCCAACCCTTCTAAAGAAATCCCTAGAAACTTGCCCAAACCCAACATCTTTGAAGAGACCCAGTAAGAAGCACATGAATTCACTGGTTGTTTACCTACTAGACTTGGCTGAGCTAGCCTCAAACTACTGATCTCCTGCACCTGCACTTCCAATTCAGCACCCACAGCAGTGGCACAGAACTTGCTACATTCCGCCTGGGATCTAGCACCCTCTTGATCATCTCCTCCACCTTCGGCCTGAGAATCTGAAGCCACCATTGCGATCGGATCCACCTCAATCAGCTCATCTTCCATGCGCAGAACAGCGAACAGGTTGGTCTCCAGCTGAGACCCAGCCCTAGTAGAAGCAGTCGGAGGGGGCATAGGCTTCACAACAGGCGAACAGAGGTCCCAAACTCCCCCCCCCACACACACACACCCTTCTTCTCCCTCCACAGAGTGTTCAAAAATTGGTCCTGAGAACCCCGAACGGCCCCTGAACCCGTCAGTGGTTGGCTGAACCAACCAGGGGTTCTGAGATTTGAGCTACTGTGCACCCTTCGACCAGGAGGGGACCTGGGCTCACTATTTGCTTTGGGCCCAGGCCCAACCACCGAATTACAGGGAGCAAAACCTGACTGGGCTGGAAGGGGCGAGCCAGGCCCAGACCCGTCTTCTAAGTTGTCTTGGGCCACATGGGACTCGAAAAGAGGGGGCTGGTGGTCCACTTTCTGAGTACTTAACGAACAGCCCTCCCTAGGTGCCAGATGTAGCTTGGCCAGACACTCCCTGATCAGGCCTTTAATAGCTTCTACTCCCAAGGTTTGCCCCTTGTCTCCCAAATTTGAAATTTGAACTCCCTTTCCACTGGCTTCATCATCAAGTTCATCTGGACCCTTCGCTGTCACTGAAATCGGACAGCTCAGAAGAAAGCTGAGGTCTGCACCATCTTCTCTACCACCGGTCGCTGGAGAATTTGACCGAGTACGAATCTTATGAAGTCGTGCTTCTTCAGACGTGCGAGGAAGAACACTTTCACCAGAATCTTCCAAGACCAATGTCTTGGTGCAGTCTGAAAACCCATTCTCTTCTCTCTGAACATCGCTAGGCTTCTCTTCTCCCCCTCTCCATCTACGAACATACAGCAGAAGCTCTTGCCATATCTGGACAGTGAACAAAACTTCCCCCGCCACCACTTCGATCTTGCTCGGAATTAGATCCCCCCTATGAACTTTCATTCTTACCCATTCGCAAGTCGCAATCTCCAGAGGAGAGTCATCCGTCTCTATGAAACCCTCGCAAGCATCCCCTATTACCCTTATTACGCTTGGACACCAAAGAAGGAGAGGGAGGCCAAACACCCTAATCCAAACCAACTCCAAATCTTCCCCTTCAGCAAAAGGATTTGGGTAGTAGCAGCCCACACTCGCACCCCACCAGTCCAGCAAGAGGGAATTTCTCCCCAACTGCCAAGGCCCGTTTCTTAACACCCAATCCGCACCAGCTCTCGAAGGACAGATGAAAAGGAAGAGGCCATCTGCCATTTTCTTCACTTTCACTCCCCCTACCTCCCTCCATTGCCTATTTGCCCAGATCTCCACTTCCCTAGTCCCCTCCCCCCACCGGAACTCCCCACCAAACAATTCCACAAAAACTCCCTTCTCGCATTTACCACCTGAGAGTCCATCACTACCACCCTTTTACCGCCGACCCTCTTCACCTTCAACAACCCAAAAGCAGGCCAGACACCTGCTGCCGCCACATCGCTGTAGGAGAGATTGGTCCTTGTCCGCCCTTCTTTCTCCACTCTTCGGTACCAGTTGGAAGTTTCCCATCTTCGCTTCTCTCCAACAGGTTTGCTGGAAGGGAAGTGGCACGCCATAGAGACTAGGGAAAACCAAAGGTACACACCTCACTTGACCGTACACCGGCGTTACCAGATCCCTTCATCGGATGGTACATTAATCATATTAATCAATTGTTTAGTCATTTTTTTAATTTACAAAAGGATAAAATTCTTGAGGAGTACCACTCACAAATCATAGGACTTTGAGAGGAACTAAACATCTATCAGTCCATTATCTCAGACATTATGGTTTATGGAACAACAGAAAAAGGATTTTTACATGGAAAATTTTTTATATGGAATTGAGTCAGAATATGAACCAAGTGCTGTCTCAGATCTTAGGCAGCTTAGCATTACCATCCTTGGAAGAAAAAGAAATACACCCAGAAACAGACCTTGCAGCAGCAACAGCATGTCCAAATTCATGAACCACTACAGATATCAAAGTCGAGAAGACCATAAGCCCAGCATCTATGACTGATATGCTTAATCCAGGAAGCTGCACGTATAAATGCAAAATTAAAACCAAACAACATCATGTACAGTCTAACACAGTATAACCAGGACAAGACCAAATACCTACCGAAGGAGAGAAACCAAATAATAGTCTATTTAAAAGATTCTTAGGCTCAGAACTTCCACCATATAATTTAAATGGTCTGGCTGATTCCCAAAGTAGAATCTGGCAACCATGAAAAGTGAACAAATGATAAGAATAGTGAAATGTCCGCAAGAATAAGCAGAACTAATCCTTATCTTGCTTTTCTCATATAATTAATATATGTATTTTTTTTCATTTTCTTTTCACAATGATCTTGTTGCAAAAACTTCAATCCCTTTCTTTTATTAAAAACCCATTTATGTAAGTTGTATTTATAGTGACCTCTGTCATTGACATGGAATTAATGTTCCTAACTATATTAATTAGAAGGACATGAATATGAAAAAGGATGTTGTTTTCTTCGTTTTACCAGAGATACAACAACTAATGCTGTCAAGCTAAAACCAATCCCTATTGTAAACCAAGCTCTTAGGCACCTGCCAGTTACCAGATAAATAAGAAAGTTACTGTCTTTTCTTTTTATGGTAAGAGTAACAAAGTATAAGAAAATACTTCCTTGCATTTTCTTCAAAAGCTACTAGATAAAATCTCTTTACACAGTAAATGAGTTAGAGAAAGCTAACTAAACCTTGCATGCTTTTGCCCAAAATAAAAGAGAGGATCATTCAAGGAAGAGAACTTGAAGTCGCAGTACCTGGAATAACAAATGACAATGAGGAGTGGAATGGAGACTGGAAAGGCTTAAAGCAAGAGATCAAAACATGAAAACCAGTGATGTACCAACAGGAAATGGTATTAGCGGGGTGATGATTATGATGACGATGATGCCTTGAGCTCAGAGGCAGTAGACTGTGTCCCCTTCCAGACCTTCTCACTCGCCTTCCACCCATCATCATGCTCTCTTCTGCCTCCGAGAATGAAAATAAGAGAAGGTTCCTCAATGTTTCTAAGCTCGGACCAAGCGCCAAGGATCCGGAGGAGTATAGGACTGCTTTGACAGTTAATCCAAAGTCGGTAAAGCAAGCAACTGACGATGTTCACCTTGAACACGAGCCACCAATGTAGTACTAGTAAAGGATCAAGTGGCAAGCACCTGAAGCGCAAGCAAATTACGCCAGAGAGGGCCAAACCTTGAAGAGACATAATTCCATTTTCCCCTTTAAATCAACTTAGCACCATTTCATGTCAAGCACCAAAAGGAAAAGGAGGAAGTTTTGGATGAATGATTAACCAGTGCACCACAATTGGTTCATAGATGAACGATTAACCGGTATTTACTCCAAAAAGAAACTCAACCATAAGAACACAGCTCAGTAGAATGAGAGTTGAGTATCTAATACGTAACCCAAGATAGCTGAAGCCCCGAGATTACAAAGGAAAATTAGAAAACGGCATTCTTTTTTCTTTTGTTTGTACATTAGAAAAAATCCCTTGAGCTTGATCATTGAAATTAAAAATAAGCACAAGTATCAAAGAAATTCATCTCAATACAAACAAATAGGAAAACTCAATCTGGACGGCTCCGACTGAAACCAGAAAATAGGAAGAAAAAGCTTACCACTTGAAACCCTTGGAAAGATAAAAGTCCGGAAACCCTTGCCTATACCAAGTTGGAGTCGGTGAAACTAGCAGTATGGCATTTTTTTTAATGTGCATGGTATGGGAAGTTAGTTGAAGAGTAAAAAGCGCATTGCACAAGCAAGGAGAAGGACAGCTGCTGAAATTGCAAAATACTTGAAAATCCCTTTATTTGAACCAATGCAGAGCCATGGAATAACTTTGCCGAGAATGCGGATTAGCTGAACGCCTCTCGCTGTTGTACGGGCTATGTGTCCAATTGTAAATGTCCACGTAAATTTTACATGTTCATACCCTATCCCCTGTGCGAATAACTCAACGGTTTGGAACCTTTTATTTTCAATCTCCTCTTCCTTCCCAACGGCCTAAACCCCTGTTCTTTCTTTTTCTCCCGCCTCTATATTCTACTCTCCTCGCCTGCCACCGGTGGCCCTTCTCTTTCTCTCTCTCTCCAAATCCAAGTTATACATTTTCTAATTTCTAGTATAAATCCTGTTTTCAAGAACTTAAAAATCCCTTAGCATAGTGATGATGTGTGATCTGGTTGTTCCCTCCGGAAAACAGCGAGCTAGAGATGTTGCTTGAGTTGCAAGAAGACAGAATCAAAGTGTTCCGGGGTGTGATAGCAATGGAAATTTGAGCCCGTCTAAGCAAGAGTTAACTCCGTACCAAAAGATAGACTCCAAGTAAGATGATAAGCCTTATCTAGGTCCATTAGATTTGGGCAGTGAGAAGATAAAATCCGCTAACGTACGATGTGATCCCAAAGAGATCAGAGATAGTTGGCTTGCTTCTATGAAGCTATGTGACACCTCGGCAGGTTGGTGGATGTAGTGAGTTGTTCGGGCCTCGATCTAGTGGGGTGACTCGAGGTGCCCGAGGTGACTAGGATAGCTGAGGTGTCTGAGGTTGTTGAAATGTTGTCATATCATTCTGTCACTCCACGTGTCATCATATCATTGGATGGGCCAAATTATCTCTCATCAATTGCCCACCACTTTGTCCATCAGAGAGAGTGTAGTCCAAGTCATTCACTTTGTCCGACAAAGGGGCTGATCCTATCACTATGATCACCCACTAAAGTGAATTCTCAGGCTGCCCCAATATACCCAGGTTTTCACTCTCAAATGATCTCACTGATTGGCATATCAAAGACAGTCCAATCTGACACCCAGTGCAGTACCAAAATCAAGTCCAGGGGTTAGGTGTAACTTTTCAATATTGCCCATCAGTCTCCAACCCTAGTAACTGAGACAAACTGCCCTAACTTCTTTGGCAACACATTAGTGTCAGCCTTGGCAGGATAAACTCCCCAAGTCTATCCAACGGCTAAGAACATTCTAAACAAACACGAGTCTCATAAGTGTCCAATTTAAGGGGTAATTACACAGAACACACCAATCATAACATGAAACAATTATGTACTTTTATTCACCTCATTGATCTGATCAAAGGGTTTTGTTGTGTCTCCCCAATTGTTTATCGACTTATTGTCTAAACTCCTTGAACTTTTCGAAAAATTGACTTATGTCTCATTACATACATGTAACTATACCGAGAATAATCATTGGTGAAAATTATGAAGTAACAGTGTTGGTTCTATGTCCTAACATTCATGGGACCACATACCTCAATATGTATCAGGTCAACTGTGCCCGTAGATCTTTCAGGCTTACCCATAAATGGCCGTTTTGTCATCTTACCCTGAAAGACAGGCTCACAAGTTAATTAATCTTCTATAGTTAGAAAATCCAAAGGACCATCATTCACCAATATTTTGATACGTTATATATTAATATGGCCAATTTGGTAATGCCACAGGCACAGGAGATTAACCTTATCACGTAACCTCTTCTTTGGGAGAATTTCCGATGTATTTTTTATTATGTTAATTTCTAGAGAATGACAAAAGACAGAGACCATTCTCAAGTTCTCCATAGATAAGGAATTTGTCATTCAATTTAATAATAATCTTATCAATGAATAAAACAAAATAACCATCCTTATACAATTTAGAAATTGAAATCAGATTTATTCTAATTAACAATACATAAAGACATTCTTTAAGGGTTACAATTCCTTCTTTGAAAATTAAATCTACTGTTCCTATAGCAGTAGCTGCAACTGTTGTAAAAATCCCCAAGTAGAGCACCACATCATCATCATTCAGACTTATGCTTTCCTTGAACCCCTACAATGTGTTACATGCATGAATGGAAGGCCCAAAGTCAATACACTATGATACAAAAGTGACCAACACATTGGTCTCTATGACAAGAGATTCGAAATTACCTTCTTTGTTCTTGCAGGAATCCAAATACTGAGGACAATTCCTCTTTCGGTGTTCAATCTTTTGCAGAAGTGTCATTCATCCGATGACTTGTCTTTCTTTTGCCTTTTCGACTTGCCTGCTTTCTTCTGAGGCATCTTCTTGCCCTTCCTCTTTCTTTTACCAGATTTGCCACCTTCAACAAGCATGGCGACCGGCTTATCCTTCCTAATTAGTTCTTCAGCCCTCTGCAACATATTGCTAAGTTCTTAAAGGCTAACCTTCATGTTATAATTCATGACAAACTGATTGAATGAGGGAGGCAGAGAGTTTAGGACGACATCAGTCTTGGTGTCATCATCTAGCAAGGATCCAAGAGCCTCTGGTTCATTTATATACCCAATCGCCCGCATGAGGTGGTCATGGACTAGCTGGCTCTCAATCATCCTTATAGTCATCAACAGCTTGAGGACCTTTTGTCTGGCAGAAGGATTCTGTTCTTCATACATAGTCTTTACACTATCCAGAATGTCTTTGCGGATTTTGATCTTATCGAATTGTCTCTAGATCGAGTTGTCTAAAGATGCTACAACGTAACACTAGGAAAGAGAGTTATTCTCCTCCTATTCCCGATATTCCTTCCTACGTGCTTCAGAAGTCATGTTACCCAGGCATTCCGGAGCTGGGTTCTTGGCAACCTTCTTTAGTTAGGGTTTCTAGGCGGCAAGAGCAGAGAGAAAGAGTTGATAGCAGGATGATCTGGAGCATATCGAACTCTCCTTTCTTAAACCTTAAGGAACATCACTTCTAATCGAATTAGGAGGTTCCTAATCCAAATCTTCATTTGGATTTGGACTCTCTTAGCAAATAAGATTTATCCTCTTATCAGAATGGATGCTCTAGACCCTTATCCAAACCCATATTCACCCATGTTCACCCATGTCACATGACTCCTAATTAATCATATTAATCATGGGCTTTAGGCCCACTAAGTAAATAGCTCACGTCCCTAGGTAGTTGTTGGCCCATTTAAGTTCACTTTATATGGCGTGGAACCCCAACAATGACCTCACATAAGTTCACATGGGCTCGGCTCAACCTCTGTGAAAAGACCTGGCCGAATTCACTGTCAAGTACAGTGAACCCTTGAGTCCATCAATATGGGCTCTTAACGGGCCCAACATTTATACTAAATGATATTTGAGTCCAGCCATCCTATGAAGGCTCAAGGATAAACAACCCTTAATGGTCTCTTACACTTAACATCTCATCCCATAATGATCAAATACTGCCCGACAATGAATGACATCTCCCCTGACTGCAAGGTGCAGTGTTACACTCTGCTCGGATGGGTCCCAGAAATTAAAGCCTTTTGCAAACCAGTTTTCTTAAAACATAATATATATATATATATAAACCATTTTTCTTAAAACATAATATATTATATATATATATATATATATAAACCATTTTTCTTAAAACATAATATATATATATTATATATATATATTGCAAAACAAATCTCAAACACAATTGAAAACGACTACCAGCAATTTTCGTTTCCATCAGAGAGAGTGCAATCCCGATCATTCACTTTGTCCGACAAGGAGGTTGATCCTATCACTATGATCACCCACTAAAGTGAATTCTCAAACTGTCCCAACATACCCAAGTTTTGACCCCCAAAGTATCTCACTGATTGGCATATCAAACACAGTCCAATTCAACACCCAGTGTAATACCAAAATCAAGTCCAGGGGTTATGTGTAACTTTCCAATTTTGCCTATCAATCACCAAGATTTAGGGCATAACTGGAAAATGGCTCGGGTTAAGTGCTTTAAACAAACACATACTATATGTGCTTCGGGTTCAATCCTAGTAGCTGAGACAAGCTGCCCCAACTTATTTGGCAACACATTTGTGTCAACCATGGCAGGATAAACTCCCTAAGTCTATCCAATGACTGAGAACATTCTAAACTAACACGAGTCTCATAAGTGTCTAGTTTAAGGGGTAATTACATAGAAAAGCACCAATCATAACACGAAACAATTATGTACTTTTATTAGTTTACAATAAATGTATTTGTACATCAATCTAATTGAAGCTAAGGGCATATATTGTCTAACAACCCTATCATCTGAGGACACTCCTGAGGAGAGGCATATCATGGACTTCAGGACCGCCTCAATCAACAGCAAGGAGGCCATCTTCCATAAGGAGATTTCCAACCTTTCTGAGATGCAGTATGGCGAACTCAGCGGCAAAGCTATGTGTTTTGTCATGATGGTAAGTTTCCAACTTCCTCATTATACTATTCCCAAACTGAGTTTTATACTTAGCTTCTGTTTTCTTTCATAGACAAACACCATGATCCACTCCCTCGTCAAGCAATCTGAGCGGCACTTGGCGAGGGCTGAAAATGTCGAGACATCGGGGGGGCGCTATTAGTCTCGGGTAGAATGGGTTGTAGGCGTCATTGGCCAGTTGAAAGACAAGCTTATGAACGTGCGAAACCGTAATGGCGAGCTGGAGCTTCATGTCGAGAAGCTCAAGATGGAGCTACAGGAGAAGCATGCTCGCCTCGCTGAACGTGAGGCCCAATTCCACGATGAGGCCCATGCTTCAAAAGTCCGAGTTGTTGAAGGGTTTAAAGTCTCGTCGGGCTACTTGTAGGTCAGGGAGGAGTTTAGCACTATTGCTTTCCCATAGCACTTCAAACTCTATTGAATGTTGATGAGGTCGGTGTACCTCGAGCTCAACCTTACGTCCATCAAGTCCTCAACTTTTACCAACGAGATGACAGATCAGGTCGATTTGGTATTGGATTCCGAGGATGAGAAAGACAAGGTCGGCGAGGGAGCTGAGGTTGGAGTCGATGAGGATGCTGTCAGATAGAATGCTGAAGATGTTGCCAATGAGGATGCTGACGTGGTTGGAGATGGGGACGAGGATCCCCAAAATGTCTGATTTATCATTGCCTCTTTTCTTGGACCCCCCTTGTAAATATGTAAAGTGTCGAACCTCCAAGCTCGACCTGATAGAACTTTCTCTTTTTTTCTAATGACGATGTAATCTCTCACTTATATTCAATGAATGAAATTTCCTTTTTTTGACATCTCATGTTATTTCTTCTTTACACCTGAAATTTAACAAAAATAAACTAAGTATGGTATTAACCCGAGGTGCCTATGTGTCAAAGCAACTAGGCATGTCGAATTGCCGACGTCATTGCTAGGTCGGCATAGGGGACCTTTAGGCTAAAAGCGACTTAGTGTCCCCTTTGAGGTGTAAATTAGTCGACGTGCTCCATAATGCAGGATAGCTCGTCTAGGTCGCTGAGGCAGGTGGTCTTTTATAAATAGTGAAATTTTTAAGAAGTTGGTGAAGTTGCGAATGTTGGACTCCCGA